AGGACACGTTTGAACAGGTCAGATATATTACCTTCGAGTAATACCTATTAGACAGGAGATATATAGTAGTTTGAATGAAAAAAGGAATTTCCGTGAAAAGAAAAGAAAGACTGGAAGAGGTCGCGGAGCAGCCTCTGCACACGCGACACCGTGATTCCGCTCCGTTCGGGCAACAAACCGTTCCATCACGTCGAAAGAGCGAAATAAGCGGGAAGCAGCCGGCTCGAAATCCGCGACTTATCAAAATTCCAAACGTACGCGACACCGCTGCCGCGTACAGGCCTGGGCATAAAGCATAAAGCCCGCCGGCGAAGGAAAGGGGTTAAAACAAAAATACCCGGCCTCTCCGAGCTTCAGAAATATATTTCTCCCGCGTGCCTCCTCTACCCTTTCCCGTCTCCAAGTAGCTGTCTCGGGCAGCGAGGTGATAAATTCGGCGAACGCGTTAAATTCCATCCTACATGTTCGAGGTAACGATATATAAGCGATACGAAGAAACGATCGGGGTACACCTCCGGGAAGAAACGGAAGAGCAGACGAACTCGAGGGATCTTCGGCTGGCTTTGGACCTCTGTAACTACCCCATTGCGGTCTCACCGAACGCGTCGCGACGCCAGCCATCGATTCGAACATCGATCGATCGGTCCAGCCTTTGTTGTCGCTGTCCCTGACTTTCTTCGAGCACATTCTTCTATCGCCACCTTTTATTACGCTCGATATTTGGATGCTGGCCAGTACCACTGGCATCCTCGCCCATGTCTATCAACGACAGAAATCCGATTCTTTTATTTTCTTTCTTTCCATGTATCTTCCCTTTTTCATCTTCTTTTTCTGCTTCTTCTTCTTCTTCTTCTTCTTCTTCGTTTCTCGTCCTTCGTACACCGATGAAGTTAACGAAGACACGGAGAGGAAAGAGAACTCCGCGAAACTCCTTTACGATCTTTTAATAAAAGTGCCCGAGAGTTGTAAATTGCGAAACAGGCCTCGTACCGATGCCGAATCGCGAAAGATTTATCGACGTCTCCCTCGACCCGTGCTACTTGTCGTAGCCAGCCGATATTGGAATTTTTACGAGGGGTGTTAATCGAGAAGGACTTGTCCTGGATGGAATTCAGTTTGGGGGATCAAACACTCCCATCTGGCCACTTTGACTAAGTTTTATTTATGTTCCTTACACGTCTGCGTGCCATTTTTCCCATCCTTCTGTACCCTCTGATTACGGAGGAATGGAGAAACGAAGGGGAGGTTTCTTGGAAGAAGTGAACAATTGGTACCACGCGTCGAGTATTTTTGCTTCGAGATATTGCTGGCTATAATTCTGAACATCGATTCTCATTAATGTTTGCTTAAACTGGACTTTTTTTTAAATACGTATAATCGGTGACAAACGGGTAGTGTTTGGACAAAGACTGCATGGCCACTGCAGGCTTCGACTGGACTCGTCCGAATATTTTCTAGAAATCTCTACGTCGGCTAAAAGGGACACGGAAATAGGGAGAAGGAGGATGTGCGTATAAAGAGATAAATGGTTGCGGAAAATACGTGTAGGGGTAGTGGAGAGCAGTTGAGAGGAAGAGTTTTGAGAGAGTTTGTCGAGGGAGTTGAGCGAGCAGCAGTTTTTGAAGGAGTTTAATCGAACAGAACTAGAGATACAACGTAACTGAATTATTTCTGATATAAAATAAAATCACCGCCGCTTCGTTTTATATTTTCCGAGATAAATCTGGAAGAAACTGCGGCGCTAATGGAACTTTTATCATTCGAATCTGTATCTGAGGTATCCCGAACTTTAAATTCAATCAGAAATCTTCGAATTTTCCCTACTCGACGATTAATTTCTTAATTAAAATATTCCGACGTTCGATTACTATTGCGAAACAACTGATTCGCGTGAATGCTGCCTGTCGCATCGCCGATAGAGCGTGGAAAACAGGGACATTCAGTGTTCGTTGAACCAAGTATCGAAGCTCGTGATGCCGAAGGAACGCAGCTTGCTAAGCTACTTACGAAGAAAATTGTACTCGAAAGTATGTTTACCTAGCCACTATAATTCTTCGAAGCTTCTTCGAGATATTTACCAAACTTTTATCGGGACTCCAATGTTCTCGACGTTTCGAGTCTTCAAACGGGATTAAAATTTATTTAATTAAAACCCTCTTTCCGCTGTCGATAATTCTATCACGTCGAATAAAGGAGAAGGAGGAGAAAAACTGGAACAAGAAGCGATGATTCATACTTCTCGTTTTAGGATCAGTGTTAGGTTACGATTTATGTTAATGGCTCGATCGTTTGGGTTAGAAGGAAAAATGTTCCTATATCGCGTTAAGCAGCGAAGACAGGGCGAAATAAAATTCCTGTCTTACGGATATTCCCATATGGGAGCCGGAAATTCGAGAGACCACCCTCTCAGACATGCAGTTCAGGGGCCAGTGAAAAAGCGTATGTTATATCAGACGCAACGATGTTTCCACAGTAGCGTGGGTTGCCGTTTGGTCGGACACTAGTACAGTCCAACGACATTGTTCAGCACTCTGGTGTTTTTCTTCCTTTCGTTCATGGTAACCGTGTTAATCCCTTCTGTGTATAAAACGGTTAGTGTACTTGAAGCTTTGTACTTTTCCCGGATTTAATTGTCACTGACTGATCGATGGTGGCTTTCTTTTTTGTTGAACATGGTAAAGGTGTGTACACGTATAATTCTTGTTTAATTCTGGTGAATTAAACGAGACGTGAACTGCTGAAAAATATTTAAAAACATGTAAATCTACGCGGCTATTATATATTTTGCAATATTTTTTTAAACCTCAAAAATTCGCCGTGTCAAAAGCTTCGATTAATGGACGTTTACGCTTGTTTGTTAAATTACTTTATCCTTTATGCATTTTATTACTTTTTCGACGACTCTGTCCATTGAAATTAATGCAATTCAGGATATATTAAAACGGAAGTCTGTCTTCCACGTGAACGAATTCGGACAGGTGATCTTCCTTTCTAATCAAACTGCTTCGATCAATCATTTCTCTGACAAGAGGCAATTCGTCATTCCTTTGACGAATTGCCACTGGCGACAAGATCTCGTTTGATGAACAAGGATACGAGGATCCTACATCGTGTTTCTCTAACGTGTAAGTACATCGCAAAATTAGATCGATATGCTTCAAGCGTAGAGGCCATCTTTAATATCCTAGATACGCTCGAACTCCCTGGAATTCGAACCTTCTTAACACGAGAACCTCTATAAGACGAATATATTATATTTTTATAATCGATTTGTCATCCAATTATTCGTCGCATATTTAGATGCAACCTCTTCTTAGCTCGAATCTAAAGTAGATAAACTTTGTTCAAATAAATTTCGACGAATCGCTAGCCGGTTGAGAAATATTTATATCAGCGATCGAATAATACCTGAAACTGAAATGGTCGCAAATACTAATAGATTTAATGCTTATAAAGTTAATTAGAATCGCCACGATCCTTTGCGCACGTTTTCGAAGAATATCAGCGAAAACAGATTACCCTGGTACCCTGGAGCAGCGAACAGAGGGTAGAAACTCGTTTAAGAGGCGAAGAACGAAGGGAATAATTGGAAAGGAAGGATAAAGCGATTCCTTTTTCTCGCCCGAGCATTCTAACGCGCTTTGAAAAGCGCGTTCCACCAACAGACGTCCCGCGAAAAGGAATTCATGCTCCTTTGACGAGGATCATAAACTATTCAGCGCCTGCAGCCTCGCGATGACAGCTCGCCGTATCCCAGCGAATATTTGCAACTCACAGGACGAAACAGTAAATTATTTCTGGACCAGAACATCAAAGCCTTCGCTGGTCCTCTTTAGTTACCATCGCTCACCTTCTGCGCTTTGCATCTCGCATCGCTCCTTCGAGTTCTAGCCGAGAGTACGGCCGACATCCGGTTGGATTAGCGTCGAACACGTTTCCTGTGTCCGATATCTCTGTATTCGTACTGGATCTAACGATCGAAGCAATTTATTTGCCTCCGTCTTCGTCTTCGACGATTGTCTGGGTCGACGAAGGTTCAAACGAGCTGACATTTCGGGTAATGAAATGGAAGAGAATTTGGCGGTAATTGAGAAGAAGTGAAATTAATTAGGGCAAGTTCATAATAGCGCGGGTGTTTTAAGCGTGTTATTGATCACTTCTTGTGTAGGCTATCAGAGTTTAGCGCGATTGATCGCAATTGACAATTCTAGGTGTGAAATAGTATTAGAATTGTTATGACTATTGTATTTCATATCGGTCGCAAATACCGGTTTACTAGTTATATCTACATTTGCGTTTGCTTAATATAATTTCCATAATATTCAATTAATTATAAGTACGACGCGCGCTAAAAATTATAGGTATCGTAATTAATAATACAATTGCGGAATTAATATCGCGTGATTCATTTAATTATCAGTCTACTTAAGTTTGTAGGAATAAATCTATAAATGACAGATATTAGCTTTTAATAAATTATTAGCTTTCTTGAAAAACGCATCAAACTCTGTTTTATACGGTACTTTTTCTCATCTTTCTGTAATAGATCTAACGGCCTATCAAAATGACATAAGCTTATTCGCCATTGCCATTAAGTAAAAAACTTGGTCTCATCTTGCTATGTATGGCTCGTGCGATTAGCTCCGGGACCTTCCCTAATGGCAACCATAAAACCGTGATCCGCCAGTAAATCGTTGGAATCATATGACCCAAGCTGGCCTGGAAAGATCCCAAGGCGTATTCTTCCCTCCCAACCGGAAGTGGCGTGGAAATAATGAATCCTTCATAACCAATGAAATCTGACTTAGTTAACGAACGATATTTAACATTTTTTTAAATTATGTCCACGCAAAGCCCAACCTGTCATCTGTCAGAAGTAATCTGACAGGCAATCACCCTCCATTCGACCCAACTTTCCACCCCCCAAGTTATTATCGCAGTTGTTGGAATGTTCTTGGGTAATTGCTGACTAACCACCGATAATCAAACGGGTGTTCCAGTGTGGCGGTCAGAGCGGTGTCTGGACAGCAAGCGTGATCATACTGTCAATCGGAAGCTGGGTTGGCAAAGTTGGCCCACGACCAGCCGATGGCGAGACTGCACACCTGACATCGCCCAGGGAAAGGTTGGAGACCGTGCGACAGGTTCTTTCCGAGGTGCCTTTGATCGACGGCCACAATGACCTGCCCTGGAACATTAGAAACTTCGTTCACAACCAGCTGGCCGAGTTCGATTTCGACAAGGATCTACGAGAGGTCGCGCCTTGGAGCAAGAGCGCCTGGAGCCAAACGGATCTGGTTAGGCTTCGTCAAGGCATGGTCGGTGGTCAGGTAATATTCCAGTTTGAAATCGTCGAATTATCCTCTAACTTGCGATATCGTGTCATTTAATTCCGAGTAAATCGTTCTGATTTTTGCTGCAAAACGCGTATTTTCGTTTCTCGCGTCCTCCATCTCGAATTTTGGAATATTGGAGAAGCATAACGAACGAATCGAACGAATTTTACGTTAATCGCGTAACTAATTAATTCCGAGTAATTCGTTCAAATTTGCGGTTCGAAACTAGTTTTAAATCGTGTCGAAGTCTCGGGAGGATCGAGAAACGCTTCGATAGACAATGGGAAAGAAAAGATTCAAGGATGAATATATATTTTCCATATACTTGAACACAGGGGTTACTACAGGTTACTCGTCTGAGACAGCTTGAACGCATCGATTATCGTCACAAAGTCATGGAAACTCGTCACGTCCGACCATGATACGCAAACATACACAACACTCGTATATATATCTGAACACAGGTGTACACGTGTGTACATGCTTACAGATTTACCCAGTAGCGTGCTTACAGCCACGTAACCGAGGGGTTAAGGAAAATTAAAGGAGAAATATTTTCATGACGCGTTCGCTCATATTTCTCAGAGAACTCGGGAACTTGGGTGAAACGTAGGCAAAAAGAGAAATAATAAAGCAGACTCGCCACCCCATGAAATTCTCTTACCTTTTTATTCGCCGAACTGAACGAAGCGATGTAATTAATTTTCGACCTCCCTCGAACCTTTTCCAAGTTTCCCGCTTACCGATCGCAGCGCCTCGATTTTGCTTATGCAGCTGCCGGAGAATTTTATCGCCACTTCGTACCGATTTTACGGTTATGACATATGTTATGCTTTCTCGATATTGAGCTTCCTCTGCGCGTGTATCGAGAATCGAACCGAATCTCGCGGATGAAATATCAAAAATTGATTCCGACCTCGAATTTATGGTAATCAAATATGCTCGAAGTAATCTCTCCGCGTATCGGTATCAAATACGGTGTAAAGTAAGAACATTTATGCCGGTTTTTCGTCTCTCTGTGTATCGTATTCCGAAACAATTTATACGTGAAAATAATTATTCGGGAAGAACGAAATTTTTTAACATTCGGAGGCTGGTTGAAAATTCAGTTTCTAGTTGGCGGATTAATTTGACGCATGTTCTTGATACTTTTGCAGATCGAGTAAGTCGAATGGAATTTATAATCTATAACTTATAATTTCATAAGTTGCCGTTTATAAAATATAACTTTAAAGAGAAGTTAGCAAAATACGTAATCGTGCGAGAGTTTCGAGCCTCGACTTTAGCCATCGTATAAAACTACCCTCTGTTGGCAAACTCTAGCTTATTATCGCCGATATCTCCCCGTATCTCGCGATAGCTCCAACGTTTCTCCCCATCGACTTGGCTGATCCTCTAAGCAGGGATCAGCGACATCAAACAAAAATTCTGATCAGATTATTTACGCCGCGCATCGTGGTTCGGCAAAATGAGCGTAATCCTTCGGCATCGAAGCGATCCGTGAAGAGAGAATATCGAAAATGGCGCGAACCTGACAGATTTAACGCATCGATCGGTCGCTGAGCCTGCAGCTCTCGAAGCACGTGCACAAGCTCGATCGTGACTTCCGGTGCGTGCAGGACGTTCGAAGTTGCACGCGTTGCAGATTGTTCGTACGAAAGTGCAACAAGAAACAGGATGTTCTCTTCTTGGCCGGGCAACGTGGAACACGCGATGTCGTTTAAAAAATTTAGAATCCTGCAGTAGTTAAATTAAATTAATAAGTTTAATCTTTAAATATTAAATTTTTTATTCATACGTGTAGTTCGTGAAATTCTCTTCCTGGCTATTCTAACAGTTAAATTGTTCGAGAAACGTTTCCAGATTAGCAATGAATCCGCAAAGAAAATGGTTAATTAAGTGATACCGTCAAAATATATTATTGGAAAATTTCTGACGAAAGGAGAATCACTGGAGGAACAACAGCAGAAGTACCTAATTGCAAAATCGTTTATTAGAACGTATTATCCTACTTCATTAAATCCTATTCGACTAATTTCTCTGCAACAAAGAAGCCATTACGATGAAACAACGTTGCAGTTAACCTTTCATCGTCGATTGAAGAGAATAATTTCTACACCGTGCTTACCATTGGATTACCGAGAAGGTCTTTCCCCGCCTCGTTTGCCTACGTTTTAAAACCTTCCAGGGCTTAAGAGCTGTACCAAAATAAAAAGTAACGCTTACAGCAATTACTACCAGGTGTAATAAAAGCTATTCGAAAGCTATATTACAGAAAAATGAAGTAAAATCCTGCAGTTCGATCGTATCGGTTTTGAAATATTGCAAATGCTATCTTCGAATATTCATTTTTCTTTCAACAACAACCACATTTCAGTCGTACTACATTTATTGTCAACTTTATACTTTGCAGAATCATCAAAGGAAAAGCAGGTAGTACAATTTAAAATGTACAAAATAACTCTGTCGATATATAAAAAAATTGCAAAACAGTTACAAACACCGTCTTCACAGACATAACAACCCCAAAGGAAAAGAGACTCAATCCCCATCGCAAGCACGCTTGTAAAAACCCTTAAAATCCCTGTGTAATCAGACCATTCGCGACCTCATGGTGGAAGATACGCTTGCTAAGAGAAATCGGAAAATGTCGACGCAATAGTCGTTGGAATAGCGTCGTTTGGAATCCAGCATCCAGCGTTCCATCGAGCCAGCCGGATATCCCGGGCGATATTAAGAAAGACAACGCGGGATGACACGGAAAACGTTCCTTTCTTTACGAGGGTAACCGTGTAACGCGACACACATAATGAAACACGCAATGAAACACACGGCCAGGATGGCGTGTGCTAGCTCGGCGAAACAGAAAACGACCCGATATTACGTTCCACAAACACGGCAAGCCCGATATTCCAGCCCCTCTGTCCCACCGCCCCTATCCCACCATGCTTTCCACCGCAAGCTCGTTACCGGTTCTCCAGGTTTTCTGGCTGCTTCTTTTTACCAACGGCAGCTACCTAGCCGACTAGCTTTCTTCCCGTTTCAACCTGTTCCTCGCTTTTCCCTGGCTTCCTTTCGCAGCATTCGCGCCGGATACGCCATTATCGCGTAACCCAACTGAGAAACTGGACGATAACGCGCGGATCGTCAACGAAATCGGAAATCACGAGTCGTGTCGCGGGCTATCCCACATGGACGAATGCGAGGAACAACGACCAGACTTCTGCAATTTTTCTAAGACCTTTCACGCTCGATTTGGACTAGGATCGGTTTACCTGACGTTTCGGAAGCCGGCCAGGGCAGAGATCAAGGGGGAGAGATCAACGAGATCGGGGAAGAAGTGTCGGGTGGTAAATCGTGACGTCATCGACGAATAAATTTGTAGAGACAGATCCCTACCGACGAAGGAGAAAGATATTTTTCTATTCGCGGCGACGTCAAGGGGCCCGAGTCATTGGGGGCCTGGTTTATGTCTTTACGACCACCCCCCCATGACTCGTGGACGCGTGGACCACGACGCGTGGACCAGGGCTGGAAAAAGTGCAGGCAGTTCGTTGGCAACCAAAGTATGATTTAGACCATTTTCCCCAGAGAGATACGATTTTCTTGGCGCAGCCCCCTCCCTCCTCCCCCTCGTGCATAATAAACTCTGACAAAATCCGACACAATGCTTTCCGCTTATTTAATCCCTCGCGATGTTTACATTACGATTCATCACCCGATATCCTAACTCTTGTTGAGAGTTTCCCGGTTAGGAGAGAAGTACAGATAGTAGTAGGATACGGGTTTGGTCAGGTCGGTAGAGTGTGATGCGTGGAATGCATCGGGATAGTGGGTCATAGAGGCGTTAGAGGTATTGGGTGGTAAAATTGCGGCAGAGTAATTTTATGCGAAGCTTGGGAAAGAGAAAATACGAGTGGATAGGGAAAGCAAGCAAATCGTCGGTAATGTAGAGATCTGTTCGAGAACGGAGAAGGAAGATGGAACAAGTGGACTGTTTCGTTAAATGGGGGATTCTTCATTGATGTAAATGGAGTATATCGCGGGTATGAATGAACTGTTAAGAGTTGATCGCAACTGACAAACATCATTTCACCATAATTACGTGGATTAAGTACAACATATCCGTTTTGTTCGATGTCAGATCAAGTTCTGATCTCGTCGCTTGTTTATTAAGGTAAACCGTCAGAAATCGGACGTCCAGGTGGCAACGACTCGGTGCCGATGTATACAGTAGTCCCCCTCTAATATCTACACATTTTCCATTCGTAATATTCATCTCCAATTGTTGGAAGTCAGCTGCGCCCATGTAACGATGACGACAGGCCTGTTAGAGGTTGCTGGCCAATACCGACCTTTGGACATCAAGGGGTCGGTTTTGGAGGTTTAAAAGGGCCTGCTGTGCCTCGGAGCTCTTCACTCTCAGATCAGGAATAGTACCGATACTTTATATATTGTGTCCCACAGTGGCATTAAAAGAGACTCTTGTATTTTATTTGTATATTGCATAAAGTGTATAAATTTCACGTATATTAAACCTTTATAAATACAATTGCTGTATAACTGAGTACGGTTACTTCCCTGCACGTTAATCATTTGGCTATTTCCTTCACGAAATTCCCAAGACCAGTTTCTGAAACTGCCTCCGCTGAGCAACCCTCCGCGTTTTCTACAAGTCCAGTGATATAACCAGATCTTAAACGCTCTTCTCCGTCTCGTTTACACCCGTTCATTCTCATTTTCACCTATGATGTGGTCAATGGGATCAGAGCTAATAGCTGGAAATTCTTGGAATAGACCATCCCTCGATATTCTTCGCATCGCGAACCCAAAGCACGCGAATATTAGGTGAGGGACTACTGTACTAAGTTGTCTGAGTATTATGAATCAGGAGGAAGTTAAAATTGCCAGAGTTGTCTGATCGTATCTCGATAGTGTAATTAATAAATTAATTAAATAAAATCCGGCACCTACGATTTTACCTAAAATTTGAAACTCAAAAATTGAATCCTCTTTTGACAAAGCTGGCTCGCCTCGCAACTTTGACAGACACTGTACACGTGATATCGTAATTTTGAAAAGCGTGAACGAAATGCGGTGAAATTCTCGTTGTTATTTCATCGATTATTTACAAAAATAATTATTCCAGAAATATCCAGGGAGATAGAAGCACTCGTCGAGTACGAGGCTCACGACTTTATTCTGTCGTGTAGCCAAGGAAATAAAAAAATTATTACAAAGAACGAAGAAAACACGCAGTTTTAACGAACACTGATAATTTACCCGGTTGCGCTGGTTTTTCCCAAAAGGGGAAATAGAAGTTTCCAAGAAAGAGCCATAAAGGAAACCAATCTGCGTTTCCAGGCGTGACCGTGGACTGCACAAAAGAAAACGCGGGGCGAAAAAATTTTCTATATTCTGGTACTGGAGAAGATCTCGTGCATCGTGCAACCACGACACAACGGTGTACCTTTTTCGATATTTCTCCAGCCATCTTCGCTACGTTTTCTTCCACCCGCGACGAGTCCTCGTCCTCAATTTCCGTCCTTGCGGAAGATAATTTTTACACCGGAAATGGTACCATCCTAGAAAGTACACGCGTCGGGCACGAAGCTGAAAATAAAAATGAAAGCGGGCGAAGACGAAAATAAATTATTCACTCGTTCTCGAATTACGAACGCGTTAAAAATGAATTTCGATCATTCTCGCAGCAGCAACGAAATTTCGCTCGCTGTTTATTATTCATAAATAATAACGACTATCATTCTACCGGCTATCGCGTTCGAAATTGGACGCCATGTAGTTACAAAGATTTCTTATTTGAAACATATAAATTTCTTACGAGTCTTTTGTATCGAACAATCTAAATTACTTATGAACGTGTTATAAATTTCTTAGAAATTTCTTCTATTAAAAGCACGGATTTCTTAGGAACGTTTTATTGAATAATTTCTTTTGTAAATTGTAGTATCGTGGTATTCGTGGCTCGATTAGCCGTAGGTCGCAGCGAATTTTCATGCGAACGATTATTTATAGGCGCTACGTGATACCATATTTGCGGTATGATAAATCATGAGCGTAGAACCAGCCTCATAAAATTTGTCACAGTTTCATGGGATAAAATAATGCGTAATATATTCGAGTACAATAATGGACAACGACTTATTAAACTGCAGTAATGAACCAAAATTCGAACGTGGTTCAGCATCGATCATACAACGGTTTAGTTAAACGTGTTTCAAACTCTGTTCGACTAACTTCCATGTATAACAGATTGCACGATAAACGAGAACAGATAGCGAGATATATAAATGTAAAAAATAATATAATGTTATTCTTTAAATAACAAGATAAAATAAATTCAAATTTAAATTAAAGTTTGAAAATTTCGGAAACAAAATTCCTCTCTCTTTCGATTTATTCTCGCATATAGAAACGCGTTATAAAAAGACACGAATTTTTTAATTTTTCAAATGAAACTGGCTACGTGTAAATCTCTGAAGAAACGAAATAAATATGTGCTATAGAAGAATTCTGAATATTCTCAATGCCGAATATTTTAAACCACGAAGAAAGGTTTAAAAAAAAAAAAGAAATGAGATACTATATTCTCTAGTGAAAATATCGTGAAACATCTGCGAAATATCGTTCTGACTTTTCGCGAGAAAGAAAAGTTTCGCTAATTTTTTGCATACCTTGCGTCCTGTGCACGTAATCAGCCTTGACATCTTCCTCTCAACCGTCCCTAATTAACCAAAAACTAATCCGACTGGTACTTTATTCACAGTTTTGGGCTGCTTACGTGCCGTGCGAGTCGCAGTATCTCAACGCGGTCCAGCTGACTCTGGAGCAGGTGGACCTCATTAAGAGGCTCATAGAGAAGTACTCGCAACGCATGCAGTTCGCTGCGTCTTCAAGGGGTGGGTATCTTTCACGATTATCCGAAACGGCTGCAGATCTCGGTTCCGCAACGGCGACCTTGTTTCTTTTCCTCGAAAACGCGCGAAATTTGAAAATTAACTAGATTACCTCGCAGAGCCAGAAAATTCTCTTCCGTTCCCATTCTCTCGTAATTCGAAGCTTTGGGAACGTTGTAAGGATATTTTGCCAACGAGAGAAGAAATCTTTCTTCCTTCATCTTTTTCGAAACTCTTTCTTTTTAAATGTATACGAAATCTTCGGAACTCTACGTCTGATTTACTGCAAATTTAATTAGCTGTTTTCTTCTTTTTTTTATGTATATATATATATTTCAGATATTTTTCGACGTATTTTTCAATAAACAACTCACGTTTGTTAAACTTTCAGAGATTCTGGAGGCCCATGGAAGTGGCAGACTGCAAATTTAATTAGCTGTTTTCTTCTTTTTTTTATGTATATATATATATTTCAGATATTTTTCGACGTATTTTTCAATAAACAACTCACGTTTGTTAAACTTTCAGAGATTCTGGAGGCCCATGGAAGTGGCAGAATAGCATCACTGATCGGGGTGGAAGGTGGACATAGCCTAGGAAGTAGTTTAGCCGTGTTAAGAACACTGTATCAATTGGGTGTACGATATCTCACACTCACGCACACTTGCAATACACCATGGGCGAAGAGTTCGTCGGTAGAGGACGAGGATGAGGATGGTGAGTGATGTTTCTACGCAAGGTTATCGAGTTTTCTGTTCCTTGTGTCATTTACGTTTGATATCCATGCGATGTTAACGAAATATCGAATGAGTATTGAAGATTGAGCCCGAATCAGCGGTCGATAATCTCGTAGTGTCGAAGGAAAAGTAAGGTGCTGTTTTGTTTTAGGAGGCGGTCTAACGGCATTCGGGAAAGCAGTAGTCCAAGAAATGAACAGACTGGGAATGTTGATAGACCTTAGTCACACAGCAAGGGCCACCATGAGGGACGCTTTAAGGGCCAGCAGAGCACCCCTCATTTTTTCTCACTCCTCGGCCTTCGCCATTTGTAATTCCTCGAGGAACGTTCCCGACGACATTCTGAAGCAGCTGGTAAACATACAGCACGTTGTCCACATGCTTATCAATTTAGACTATGTTTAATTTAAATGAAATACGATTCGACATATTCACGATGATGGAAAAAAATTTGACCTCTGTGATGACAAACTGTGATGAAACTATGATTGGAATAATATAAATTTTGTAAGAAAAAGGCCTGAAAGTTAAAATTAATATTTTATTTACAGGCTGCTAATGGTGGACTGGTTATGGTGACATTTTATAATTACTTCGTGAAATGTGGCTCTCAAGCGACCGTCTCCGACGTCGCAGAGCATATATACTACATTAGAAGTCTAATTGGCGTGGACCATATTGGTGTCGGTGGCGACTTTGACGGTATTAACAAGTAGGTATATTCTTCCCTTAAAACGTCAAAGTTTTATGACATAAATTTCTATAAATATTAAAACAACGAAGGGGTCTTAACGGTACGTTATCAGGTTATACTTTTCATTGAAAAATAAAGCTAAAATTACGTTAAATTAACAGACCTAATTATTTGTATCTTGTTTATTTATATGTTCTCAGATGGTATGTGAAATGATGTAAAAAGCCTTTAATACCGACTGTACTTCAAATACCTGCAAACAATAAATTCAACTCTGTTGCTCAAATTATACAAAATCGGGGATAGTTCTATTAAACGCGATAAATATTTGTTTCTTTTTATCACGAAAGTTAATCTGCTTTCATCCTTTCACCGACATCAGGTCTCTACATTAACTAAATAAGGATGTTTTAAATTATCGGTTACCAGTAAGTTATCGATCGGTACAATTACACAGTCGGTATAACATTTGTAATCAACATTTGATCAAGAAACATTGTGAGTTGTGATGCAATCTCATTTGTAAATTTAATCAAAAGTGTACTACACAGTTCTGATTGGCATGCAGTACCATACAGTGCTCTGTAACCAGAATTAACTGATAGTGTTAGGTAATTTGATATCTATATAAATGTTAATATAAACCGGCAACAGTGAATGACATTGTAATTGGCATTACAGGTTCATAAATTGTTTTTCTCCACAATATTCTACTAACCGTTTGTTGTAATGTATTATTAATCACTAAAGGAGAAGTAAAGAACAGTAAGAGAGAATTTGAGGAAGAATTAAGCATTGTTTGAATCATTTAAATTCATGATGGGAAAAATAAGTTATTAAAATTTATTAATGTCTATTATTTCCGTTTGTAACTGATAAAATATTGTGTGAACAAATCTTTATTTTATTCACATGCAATCAAGGTCGAGATTATTCATAGGGAAAATACTCCTCGTTGTTTTGTATCGTTAGAAGTAGGCATTAAAACGATATTTCTAATTATGTATCTAAAAGCAAAAGTGATCACAGAACATTATGTTAGCCGTACACTGGAAATAGTTACATGTACCTAAACTCCACAAAAAATTACATTCTTTTCACTTTTATTCGAATAATTGTTGCCTCCTATTTAAAATAATTAAGAGGAGTTATACAAAATTTCTCTTCTTCTCAATATGGATTGTAGAATGAGAGAATTTATAATAGCCAACATTGGTAAAAAAAACTATTTTCAGAACGATTGTACTAAGCTCGGACCACATAACAGAGAATCATAATTTATTTTGTTTGCAGAACACCCAAAGGACTCGAGGATGTTTCAAAGTATCCAGAACTATTCGCCGAACTTCTTCGAAGTGGGAAATGGAACGTACTTGACTTAAAAAAAGTCGCCGGGCTGAACTTGCTAAGGGTCCTGCGGCAGGTTGGAACCCTTTTAAATCTAAACTCGGATCTTCATGCTAGCTTGGTCCACCGCAAGCATCTCTAATTGTTCTTTGTGAAAGGAAGAAAAACTAAATTATAGCTTGAATCCGGAAAATCGAATATACTTCATGAAAGATAATCCTAAAAGAATTTCAATTAAATTCCATTAATCTGATACTATATAGTTATGAAGAAAAAAAGATATTTCAAAAGATATAGAATCCTTACACAAGAAATTGAAATAAAAATGAATAATTCTTTGTTTCTAAGACACTATTTTTTTTTAAAATGTCTATAGAGATAAAAATATTTTTATTTTACAAAAACTTAACCAAAGCTGAAATCAAAGTTCTTTGAAAAGAACGATGCTTTAAAAAATAGTGCATCTTCAGAAATAGAAATATAATAGACATTATTCCATTTTAGGTGGAACGAGTTAGGGACGATATGAGAACCGCCGGAATGACACCATCCGAAGAATACCTGCAAGATTCTCCCGACACAACTGGCAGTTGTGCACTCGATATCAACTCCGTACAGAGAGTCATGGAAGTTTGATTGTTCTATCAATGTCCTCTGTTTCTCGATGGTGTGTAAATTACTTCTCCACGGGCACCTTGCCGTCCTATACTCGACAAAATGGACAGAATCGTGTCGAAGTCGAGGAAATTCTAACAGAACGAGCGATTCAAGAAGAGAGGACTTCTCATTGCTTGATTCTTGCCCGCCTACAAAGTCTGTCCCTTCTAGATGCTCAATCAGGATAACATTGAATGAAAGAAAAAGTAAAGAACCTACCTCGAACGAAATACATAACTTCGAATGTTTAATTTTCTTAATTGTAAATTTCTTTCATTTAAAAACGCAAATACAGACAATTATTTTTCATCGAATTTTTCTAAAAATCTGATTTTCTCATGTTTATAATTATTCGAACGATTGAGAAAATACAAAGATTATATTTTCAGTATAAAGCTCAATTAAGTTCCATTAAGATTAATATGATTATTGAGTGTTACGAAATTCATGTTCTAAATTGCAAATGATAATTGTATTTATCAGTGATAATTTAAGGCTTATGTTATAAGTAGAAAAATTGATTGTGAGATCATCCGTATTTTGAACATTTGTAACAATCATATTTTGATATCTGGCACATATGTTTCAGAACAATATGTCCAAGGTAACAATGCTATTTTTAATAGGGGTAATAGTAATGCATATAAAATTTATTATAACATAAAGAAACACGTGTATTCCGCCATGCAATCTTTAAATAAAGTTTAAACGAATGTTGCTCCATTTTATATTTTTATGGTGCAGGAAGATCGAAGTGTTAATTAGAAGAATTATATGAATTACTGAAACAAATTAAAATTTTCATTGTCGTTCGAAAAGTTATAGAATATTGTATTTCTTAAGAAAATAAGCTTTTAAGAATCAAAGGACATCCTTTGACTTCTTGCATAAATACATATACTTCTGTCAGTACCATTCAATAATTTAATGAACAAAAATTTAATTTCGAAATGATCAGTTATAATTGACATGATGATAATTCTAGGTAACGTTTTTGTCGTATTAGAAATAATGAATTTTATGAAATTGCTGTAAAAAAAGATTAGCCAAGTAAAATGATTAACTGTGCGTAATTCAATACATCAGTGGAAATAAAGAGAACATACTGTGACAATATAGGAATCTTTTCTAAACTGTGTCACTATTGTATCGTAACAAAAAATATTATGTGTGAACCCGGCTGTGTATCTCCATACGTCTTCCCCCTTCATTGCACCAAAGATACGTGCACTTTAGCATTAAAAATTTGAAAAATCAAAGTGAGCACCCGTATCTAAATCACGGGTTTATTTAAAAAACATTATAATAATCATGAAAGCAGAAAAAGTTTCAGAAGAAAAACATATCTGTTTTATAGTTAAAAAAGAAAACGGGGACAGAAGAAGCATATTCTCTAAATGAGTCCTGTTGTTAGTATTATACAAAAGGAAAAATAGTATTATAAAAAGACAAATGCTTTTCACAAGATAACAAATACTTGGATAAGATAAAAGTTGCTCACAGAAAATATTGCCGAAAGAATTCAAATATGTGTGCGTGTTTCTTAACGTGTTATATCGGATATAATCTATCACTTGAACACATCCAAATTTTCCTCGACAAAAGCATCATCTAATGTTTTCGACGATTCGCCGGAAATTTCTGGGGTTGATTCAATCTAAAAGAAATTCTTTTCGGCAAAAATTCACCCCCGCGATTTTCGTGTGCTACCATTCACCTGTGTCCTGTGTGCACTTACTATGTAATTCATGCGAGTTAATTCTTCAACAACAAAAAAATCCTACCAAATGAAAATCAAGGAATGAAGATAATTTGTATGAATTATACCTAACTCCCATGTAAGGAGTGGGTGTGGACTTTAGAATATCAAAAATTCCGTTGTATCTTCGCAGCGGATTCTATGAATAAATGTTTCTATTGTATACTTGTCATTATTCGACTTTTCACTTTACCTCGCCGTTATTTTACAACAAATTCGAACGATTAATTACACTGTTTAACACTAATTTTAATCTGTAATATCCATTGAATAGTTCTTATAGAATTTACTTTTCTGAACTCGTACTTGTAATCGAAATTGTTCTATTACCCTTGGTTTTCGAAAATTGCGAGTTTTTCTAAAAACGCACGATTTTTGGATTTAAAGAAGGACTATATGAAAACTAAAAAGATTAGAAGATTCATTCTGGTCTTAAAGGTTAGGTGAGAATTTATCCACATTCATAACTATAATTATTTGTGTTCCTGGATAATTGCAATTTATCATCAAAGTTTAAGTATTTTCCAGGCATTATTCATGCATTTTTACACTAAGATCTTTATCCTGCACAAATTTGTTATACGGTATCATATTCTGAAGACCTTTCTGAACAAGAAATTATGGAACACAATTGTGGAAGCAATTTGGAATTCAAATAGATCGAGATGACCATACTTTACCACAGACCTATTTCAAAGATGCAACATTTTCCCGCTACAAAAATACCCAGCATGTCCGGTTGCAGCCAACTTCCAGTTGGCGGCAAGCGGGCATAACGGTAACATGGTGAAATATTCTCACGCGTCAAAATGAAACATTAAATCTCAGAACGTTTCGTGAAGTAGTGATATCGCTGATTGACGTCTTAATTACTTTATGAAGTTCAGGATTACTCACTATGAACATTTCTTCAGTAGTAATATACTACATGTGAAAAAAAGTTATGTACATAGTGTAAATCGTATAACGATACACGTGGGAAATAAAGTGGTGTGAGTGCCGTATCCTA